CCAATATAAAGTGTGGGGGACTCTGATGTAAAAGGGGAGCTCCTGATGTGAAAAAGGAGAGTGGATGTGGCGTGGGTTACTGATGTGAAGTGGGGCTTCTGATGAAAAGAGGGGCCAATGATTTGAAAGAGGGGGTCTCTGATGTAAAGGGGGCCCCTCATGTAAAAGGGTGGGCTTCTAAAGTGAAAGGAGGGGACTCTGATGTGAATGGGAACCCTACTTTCTTGTGTTTTTGCATGGTCAGCTGGCGTGGAGGGGATACAAAGAACATTGATAGCTGGGAGAGTGACAAGTCATGACACATGGTACAGTCTAACAACACACATGCAGCAATTAGCCAGAGTACAATATATAGTTCTATTCACCCCTGAGGATCCGGAATGGTTTTAATGATGGGAATTCATAAAGGATAATGTTTGGGTTGTGTCCTTTCTCCGCCACGGCAAAATATTTCCTGCTGGGATGGACCTGGAAGTAAAGAAAGTCATGTGCAAGGTAAGATATAGATATAGATAGATATATCTTGTATATCATATCTGTATGAAATAGGGCTGTTACTGATTAAAATTTTCGTGTTCGATTAATCGAAAAAATGTAAATCGCTTAATTATAACGCACATACGGATCCAACTACATTGGCCTATACACATACAGCACCGCAATGAAGTAATACAATGAACTAGGATCACACTAATCCAGCACGTTATTAATCTCACGTGCTCCACTCAATATGGCCGCCGCTTGAGTGGGGCAACTCAGAATAATAACGTGCTGGATTAGTGCGATCCTAGTTCCTTTTATTACTTCATTGCTGTGCTGTATGTGTATAGGCCAATGCCTTGGCTGGTGCTCGTGCAGAAAGTTTAAAAAAAAATGTAATCGATCAAAAAGATTAACGATTAATCGAGAAATTAATCGTTAATTTGCACAGCCCTAGTATGAAATGATTATTCATTCATGGCTGAATATGTGTCATGTAATGTAGATATAGTTTTCATTGTATTTATAGATTATTATAGGGCATTGCATCCATTCCCCATAAGATTTTCTGTCACTCTTCTCTCTCCTCCTATCAGCATGTCCCTTGTACTGCAGCCCACCTGATTGGCTCCTTGTGTTCCCTGTCTCTGATTTTTGCTGTACACACTCTTGGCTGATACCAAGTCAAATTCAGGTACTGCTTGCAATAAAAAAAAAAACATTTATTGAGGTACACGGAGTTGTATTACTTTGTGACTTTCTATTTGCCCGGAGTTTAGCTTTAACTTTCAAGGCTGGGCAAAACGCCACCCACCCCCCTCCCCACTTCCCTGTTTTTTTTTCTCTCAATCTTTATTTATAGTCTTTATATAATCTGGAAGGGGACTGGTGCTAGACCACTGGACTACTGGGGTATATCGGCGGAAGCAGGATGAGCATTGCAAGAAGAAAAGGAACATGCTGAAAGAAGGAGAGAGCAGAGTGACAGAGAGAGGAGCTCATCACTGTGCTGCTTCTTTTTCCACTGTCCGGTCACAAGCTGGGAGCAAGTCCGGGATGACCTGGGCTCAGAGAAAGTGGGTTGAATGATGCCGGCCAACAGGCTGAGGACATCTAGTGACAGAAGAAATAAATACTGTGGGGGAAATCTCTGGATTGATGATGAATAATTAATTGTCTGCATTGCTATTGCAGTGTTGCCTCCACTGTCATCCAGACAAATGCACCTAGGCAGTGAATCCATACATTGAAATCCAGGTGGGTATTAGTTCATACAAAACAATGCGTGTAAAGGATCCAGGAACACGTACAGTGACAGCTCCGATTCCTCCACCGCTGCTGCTCCTCAGGTATTGCTGCTCCTGCGTCTTAAGTGTTAGGATGATACTCATTGTACCGGCGACGTACAGCAGCGTCTGGTCATCCAGTAGATGGAGGTTGGCCCTTTTGTTGCAGTCATAACCGAAAGAATGTCTGAGATATATTAAGGAAACAAGCCATGAGGATCCCATCCATCTATCTACATGTTCTCTACAGGAAGTCATCTACTTGGGCTATGTTCCCTCGTACAACAGATTCCACATGTTCTCTATAGGAAGACTACAGGAAGTCATCTGTCTGGGTTATGTTCCCTTGTACAACAGATCCCACATGTTCTCTACAGGAAGTCATCTACCTGGGCTACGTTCCCTTGTACAACAGATCCCACATGTTCTCTATAGGAAGACTACAGGAAGTCACCCCCCTGGGCTATGCTCCCTCGTACAACAGATCAGACATGTTCTCTACAGGAAGACTACAGGACATCATCTACTTGGGCTATGTTCCCTTGTACAACAGATCCCACATGTTCTCTATAGGAAGACTACAGGAAGTCATCTGCCTGGGCTATGTTCCCTTGTACAACAGATCAGACATGTTCTCTACAGGAAGACTACAGGACATCATCTACTTGGGCTATGTTCCCTCGTACAACAGATCTTTACAGAATGAGTATGGAAAGTCATCCACCTGGGCTAGGTTCCCTTGTACAACAGATCCCACATGTTCTCTACAGGATGACAACAGGAAGTCATCTGCCTGGGCTAGGTTCCCTTGTACAACAGATCCTACATGTTCTCTACAGGAGGACTACAGGAAGTCATCTGCCTGGGCTATGTTCCCTTGTACAACAGATCCTACATGTTCTCTACAGGATGACTACAGGAAGTCATCTGCCTGGGCTATGTTCCCTCGTACAACAGATCCTACATGTTCTTTACAGGATGACTATGGGAAGTCATCCACCTGGGGTATGTTCCCTTGTACAACAGATCCTACATGTTCTCTATAGGAAGACTACAGGAAGTCATCCACCCGAACAACATTCCCCTATACAACAGAAGCTACCTATTCTCTATAGATGGACTATAGGAAGTGATACACCTGGTTTATGTTCCCTCGTACGACAGAGCCTACCTGTTCCCAGGAGGGAGCTATAGGATGTGATCCACCTGGGCTATGTTACCTGGTCCAACAGTTCCCACGTGTTCTCTTCAGGAAGAATACAGGAGGTGACCCACCCAGAGTATGTCTCCCTACCTGTTCACTACAGGAAGAACAAAGGAGTTTACCCACCTAGGCTACTTTCCTCTGTATGGCAGCACTATTCTCTAAAGCAAAAATAGAGACAGTGATCCACCTAGACTACATCCCACTGTAAAACAGACCCTACCCGTCCTCTATAGGGAGAACTTAGGAAGTGATCCACTCGGACTTTGTTCCCTGTACAACAGATCCTATCAATTCTCTACTAAAAAAATATAGAAAATGATCCGCCTGGACTCTGGTCCTCTGTACAGAGGTATCAATCATTTAGCCTTTCACAAATAGTCCCCTGAAGAGTAGAATAAACCCCTCTCTCTGAATATAGAAGGATACAGGAGTTGGAGGACTCCACTTGGGATTCCTGAGTCCGGGGTGATGTACGGACGGGAGCACATACTCTCATAATCATAGTAGAAGTCCTCTGGAATCTTCTCTATTTCTTCTTCCTCCTCCTTCTCAACTTCTTCCGGCCTTGGCTGTTCATTGGGTAAAGATTCGGATTTTTGGCCTATGTAAGTAAACACAGACTCATAGCAGGCATAGGCAGATAAAAATATACTAGCTTGATTATAGTGCTAACTACACCAACTATCCACACCTGTCTGTCCATTGATTTAAAGTTGAACTCCAGCCTTAGCTTCAGTCTTATAATTATTTCTACACTGCGTACTCCCAAATACAACCTAACTATGTAGCTACCTACCTAAACCTAAAATAGTATCAAGCTTCCCCTATTACCCCAATTTACACTGATCAGCCATAACACTGTGACCACCGAGAGGTAATGTGAATAACATTGATTATCTGGTTACAACGACACCTGGAAGTGGGGGGGTGTATTACAATGGCGCCTGGAAGTGGGGTATATATTACGACACCTGGAAGTGGGGTGTATATTACGACACCTGGAAGTGGGTGGGATAAATTAAGCAGCAATTGAAGATTTTGCCAATGAGGTTGATGTGTTGGAAGCAACCAAACAAAAAAATGGGCTAAAACTACGCTTTAACAACGAACGTCCCCCACGAATGCCCAGGAAAGAACTGACCCCGGTATGCCCTCTCCCTTCTCTCCCTTCCCACCCTAGTCTTCCCTACTCTTTCTTCTTTCTTTCTCTCTCGACCGTGTTTCCCCGAAAATAAGACACTGTCTTATATTTTTTTTTGCCCCCAAAAAACACACTAGGTCTTATTTTCAGGGGATGTCTTATTATTTTTTTAATGTGCAACAAAATGTACAACAATCCAAAGTTATCTGGTATCACTCCACCTGTCACAGTAACCGGCGCTATAGAGGAATATTGGCTAATGCGACTCTGCTCCCTCCGCCGCCGCAGCCTTGTTTTCTACAGCGCCGGCTTCCTTTGCCATCAGGGACAGTGGTACCAGCGGTGCAGCAGTGGGGACATCAGACAGTGGACAGCGCGGTAAAGTACGGTACCATTTACCGGTACACATTACAGTACAGTACCATTACATTAAGTAGTGTCTTCAGGGGGACAGCAGTTGGTGAAGTCTGGAGGGAGTCCCCTGTCATCCCCTTAATACAGTATGTCCCTGCAGGCTGATACCATCTCTCCTGCAAGTTCCCCCTCACACGCTACCACCAAACTAGGTCTTATTTTCGGGGTAGGCCTTATATTACAGGAATCTTGAAAAATAGTACTAGGTCTTACTTTCGGGGTAGGTCTTATTTTTGGGGAAACAGGGTATCTCTTTTGGGCACGATCTTTAATGTTTGATGTTTGCAGTGGTTTAGTACGCTCTCTCACAGCACGAATGGCGGTCCTGTGATGCAGTGACCCACAAAGGAACAACTTCCTCCTGATAACCCTGTAAGTTTGTTGGGCCCCTCAGTATTCGGGAGGACCCTAACATATACTTGATCTGCTTGACAGGCGAGCCTACTACACCAGTGATACCTGTCATTCTGTTTAAATCTTGAGCTGTGCCTCTCCCAATACATTCTGTAGTTCCATGCACTGCGTGCTGTAAGTTGTAACCATATGCTCCCACTGTCTTTGCAAAAGTGTCCTGTTACGTTAAAATCAATAAACATCTTTGATTTTAAAAAATGGACAAGTGTGAGGATTTGAGGGACTTTGGCAAGGGCCAAATAGAGATGTCTAGATGACTGGGTCAGAGCAACTCCAAAACTGAAGCTCTTGTGGGATGTTCCCGGTCTGCAGTGGTCAGGACCTACCAAAAGTGGTCCAAGGAAGGAAAACCAGTGGACTGGTGACAGGGCCATGGGCCGCCAAGGCTCATTGATGCACGTGTGGAGCGAAGGAGGCCCCAACTTGCAACTTACAGGACTTAAAGGATCTGCTACTGAGGGCTTGGCGCCAGAAACCAACTGCATGACACAGAGTGTAATGGGAGAGAAACGTACACCTCTCTGACAAGTATGACTGAGTGTAGGGGCTTATGATGCCTCCATGGTCAGGCTGTGGACATTCAAGTATGTAACAAGCAGTAAACGCTTTATAACACACCCTCACTGATCTCTGTAGGTGCAGGCATTGTGGAGCTATTCATCCCCAATGGTCACAGCAGAAGGGTCACTGAAGTCCTTAGGTGGTGGGGAAGTGGATACTGAGTGGTACTAAAAGGCTGGGTGGTACTTGTCAGGTAAGCTGTACAGGGCCCCATGATTACTAATGGTGGCTTTGAAAACAGGATGAACAGAGCTGCTGAAAGGATGACTTGGAGGACTTCAGTGCTTCTGCTGTGAAGTTTGAGAATTTAAGGATGAATTGCTGTAGAGTGCAGAGTGTAGAGTACTACAGGTCAGTGATGGCTTTTTTTTCAAAGGCTCAGTTACTGCTTGTTAATAATATGTACATTCCAGAATGTCCCAAGCTTGGCCACAGGTTCACTTCAAAGGCAGGACATCCCGATCACTAGGGTACTTTTTCAGCCCTGATAGTAGATGAGAAGAAATAAATGCAAAATGGGTTCTCACCGTCATCAGCAGACTCCTGTACTGTGTCCCCTACAGTGGGATCTTCTTGTTCTGTCGGATCAGCTGGAATGATTTCAGCGGCATCTCCTTCTTTGGGTATGTTTCCATGGTTAACCACGGCTAGAATAAAACAAAACTTTTGTCTTTACTATGGTTAGGAGCCCTTTCACCTCCATATACAGGGCCAGGCACATGTTTAATGTTTATGACACTAGCTACCACTTGCATTTTCACGCAAATGCTTTCATTGCATACTGATGAGCATTTAAAAAAAAAAGAAAACACATCTCATTTTCCATTTTGTGGTGTTGTGGCCATGTATTATACAAAGTTTACGAGGGACATACAAGAAGTATATATATAGTTTCTGACAATTAGAGTTCTACAGTTCTAAACAAAGGCATACTGCAATTTTCAGGCTGCAATGGAATCTGCATTTTGTGAATGAAGCCTTCACACTGCATGTGATCATTTTGTCGTAGCCAATGTTAAGATCACATGATCAGGAAGCACTCTACTTGTAAATTTTACCTTGTGCTTCCTCATCTGGATTCTGCTGTGCCGTTTCTGCTCGCTGATCTTCATCACTTCCAGCTTCAGCTGCTGCAATTTCCCCTGATGTGACTCCCTCCTCCTCCTCTGCCATAGCTGCAACCACACTGCCCTCTGTTGGCCGGATATCAAAAGACATCTCTGAATTTTTCTCTATTTCCTTACTGTTCTCAGTTTAATTTATATTAGTAAATAGCAATGATACACAGAATTTATCTATATTAATAAGTTCATTTACACAGCTCAGAGAACACTGAGCCAGTCACATCAGCCTCTGCATCTGAGGAGCTTGCACTCTAATGTCCCCCCACAGTCACAAACTATTATTATACATTTACATAGCTCTGACATATTCCGCAGTCCTGTACAGAGAACACTGAGCCAGTCTCTGCACCAGAGAAGCTTACACTCTTCAGTACAGGGAAACAAATCAATATAAAACTCACCAGAATGTTCCGAGGCTTCTCCTTTTATGTCTCCACTCAAAAGGTCACTCTCACCTTCCCCATGTGCCATTGCTTGTTGTTCCATATGCTCTTTTTGCTCCGCCCCCTCTGTTCCTGTGGGTGAGAAAAAAAATGTAAATCTGATTGGCTGATTAGTTAATACTGAAAACAGACAGTATCCTATCTACTGGAGATCCTATGCTCATCAGCTCCATCTAGTGGCTCTAATGTGATGTGAATAGAGGGCTGTGCGGACTCTCAGGTGGCTGTGCAGGTTCAATGGTGGGCTTTGCGAACTCTCAGGTGGCTGTGTGAGGTCTATGCTGGGCTTTACGGACTCTTAGGTGGCTGTGCGGGGTCTACGGTGGGCTGTGCGGACTCTTGGGTGGCTGTGCATGTTCTATGGTGGGCTGTGCAGGCTCTCAGGTGGCTGTGGATGTTCTATGGTGGGCTGTGCAGGCTATCAGGTGGCTGTGCATGTTCTATGGTGGGCTGTGCAGGCTATCAGGTGGCTGTGGATGTTCTATGGTGGGCTGTGCAGGCTCTATGGAAGGTTGCCGGGACCCTGCTGGGGACCTTGGCAGCCTTCCTGTGAAGCTCGGAGCCTGTTTACAGTGTTGGCTTCAGTTTAAAAATCTAAAAGGTGCAGAAAGGGTGCGAGGGCCACGTGAAATTGCCTGGTGGGCCAGATTCGGCCAGCGGGCCTTGTGTTTGACACAAGCTCTAGGGCCAGTATGTTTTTGGGTTATAGAAAAGAACTGAACACCTAGAGTAACCTACACAGTCACAAGGAGAAAATACAAACTCCATGCAGATTGTGTTCCAGATGGCATTTAGACCCAAGAAACAGACCCTTAAGTCAAAAGTGCCGATCACTTAGTCATCCTAAGCCCCGGTGTGCTAAGCTACCTGCAAATATTTGACAGCCTATGCATGGAGGATCCCATCACCAAACAATCTATTTAACAAGGAGCTTTCTTGAAACATGCCAGTCCACATCGGGGTTCCATCTGCATTGGGAAAATAGTGATTGGCCTGGAAAAATCTGTCTTTGCTGGTCAACTTCCTCTGAGCAGGCTCATCCTGGGAGGGTTGGCTGGTGTCATGGAGAGGTCCACAAGAATACAAACGTTTCCCAATCTGGCTATAAATGGTTGGATCTGGAGAATGTCCACTAATGAATGCAGGCACCTTTAGACTGCAGATGCCTCTGTCAAGCACTGTGGGGTCTTTAGGTGACCCCATATCGTGGGGTCTTTAGGTGGCCCCATATTGTGGGGTCATTAGGTGACCCCATATTGATTAAAAGTCATATTAGTCATTTAAAAGTACTACAAAGCATTAAACTATTCACACACAACACAATGAAAGTAAAAATAAAGGCCCACCTGCTGAACTTTCCAGGGGACCTTCTATGTTTTGGTCATGCTGGATCTCCTGATCTTCTTCAATAGTTTCTCCCGCAGCAGGTTGCTCGGTTTCTCGTTCCTCCCCTTGCGGCTCCTCCACAGTTTCAATCCCTGATCCAGTGTCTGCTTCATTACTGACATCAAGGTTATCTGATGTCTGCTCCGTTTCTACCTCAGACTTGTCAGCCAACATTGGCTCATCCGTGGTACCCGATCCTTCATCTTCATTTGCCGTCTCCGGGGTTACTGTCTCTTCTGTCCCCTCAGCTAATGGCTGGGCATTAGGAGTCTCTGGTAATTTGCTGTCATGTCCATGATGTGGTGCTGTGTCACTGGCTGCACCTCCTTCCTTTCCTTCTCCGGTGACCTCTTTGCTGGAATCAGGGTTGTGTTCATCTTCTAAAACCTGTTTGGTGATATCCAGAGTTTCATCATCAGCTTTTTCTTCTTGCAGTCCATGAGCAGACTCAGCAGACTCCATCTCTACAGTTATAAAAGTAGACAATCTTGTTACTGAGCAAAGACATATAAATAAAAATGAATACATTTGCATTGGCCAGGGAACACATGAGCTGGGGACAAGTTATATTTTACGAATGATGGCCTTTACTTAGCAATGGATGTCCTCCTTAGAGCAGCATATGCTCAGGCAATCCAGCAGTGTCCTTTTCTGAGCTCCCACAGAGCTGCTTCATTCATGTGCTCTGTGTAGGTTAAGTTACCAGAGGAGCAACCTTTGTAGCAGACTCCATAAGGTACCTGAAAGAGGCCTCCTAATCCTCCCCCAACATTATGTTCCATCTTCAGAGCCTTTCAAACCTCCTGTGTAAGCTTCACCTTTCCGAAAGACCAGACTTGCAAAGGTCTATGAATACTCCCCTTCTGCCCATGTGACAGCAAATAGGCCTGACAAATGTCTGCTCAGGCACCAAGCACTGAATTGTTGGAGGTTCGAGAAAGTGAAGCCTGGACCTCCATACCTGCAAGAGTATTTCATGAAGCTCCAGTATGATGGTCACAGGAAGACCGGAGCTGTCTTTAAAGTGTGGGCTATGACTGACTACCTGACCTCAGCTTTCCTATGCTGTGTGAGAGGCAAGATGGCGTCACCCATTGGGGAAATAACGGGGTCTCTGCAGACTGATGGGAGCAGCTTTTTCTCACTGATTTTGCACAAATGAGTTTTTAGAAGCTGAATAGTTCATATTTGAAATAGGTTTCTGAAAACACTGGTACTTTCTGAAGTGCCGGCGATGCGGCAAATGAGGAGGCAACGTTCCTGATTGGTGCTTTCCTAAAGTGCCAGGCGACACATGGCTCAGCCTTTGAGGAACACGTCTCTACGCCTAACTCAAGACACCCCCCAAGTGCCTCCATTGTCAATCTGTTCCCTCATTACTCCTGTATCCTCCATGACAATCATCCTACCCCCTCTCATGCCTCAGTGACTCTATGCTTCCTGTGCCCAGTGTCTGCAAGTGCACCATGTGCTCCTCAATCTCCAAGTTAGGCCTGTGCACCATGTGTCTCCAAGTGCACCCTGGTGTGCCCCGTGTCTCTAAGTGTGCCCTGTGCCCCTCGTGTCTTCAAATGTGCCCTGTGCCCCTCGTGTCTCCAAGTGTACCGTGCTACTCGTGTCTTCAAGTGTGTCCCCCGTGCACCTCGTGTCTTCAAGTGTGTCCCCCGCGCACCTCGTGTCTCCAAGTGTGCCCTGTGCCACTCGTGTCTCCAAGTGTGACCTGTGCGTCATGCGTCTCTAAGTGTGCCCTGTGCCACTCGTGTCTCCAAGTGTGACCTGTGCGTCATGTGTCTCTAAGTGTGCCCTGTGCCACTCGTGTCTCCAAGTGTGACCTGTGCGTCATGCGTCTCTAAGTGTGGCCTGTGCACCTCAAGTCTTCAAGTGTGGCCTGTGCACCTCATGTCTTCAAGTGTGGACTGTGCACCTCGTGTCTCCAAGTGTGCCCTATGCACCTCATGTCTCCAAGTGTGCCCTGTGCGTCATGCGTCTCTAAGTGTGGCCTGTGCACCTCATGTCTTCAAGTGTGGACTGTGCACCTCGTGTCTCCAAGTGTGCCCTATGCACCTCATGTCTCCAAGTGTGCCCTGTGCACCTCGTGTCTTCAAGTCCCCCCGCACGCACGCACACACACACCACTCCAACATCCCCATACAGCATACATTATATCTGTGCTCCATTAAGCTTTAGTGGTTATGATGCTTAAAGTGATCGTTTAACTTATTTATCTTTTACAGAGTTCACGGACGTATCGGGCCGTTCCCGGGAAGGACAGGCTGCTGCCTACAAATCACACGCAGCAGCCTGTTCTTCTCTATGGGAGGACGCGGCCGTACGCTCAACTGAACTGCACATTTGCACGGGTGCGGATGTTCATACTAATACGCAGACAGGATGGATCCTATCTGCATCCGAGCACGGACACCTGCACCCGCACGGATGTGTATGGGCCAACGCTAAGCAGTGTGAATGAGGCCTTAGTGTTGCAGGGAAGCAGGGGTCTCAGATGGGCTGTAAAGGATCTCTGGTGGGCTCTGCAGG